TTCTATATTAAATCTTATTTGACAGTTTAGTGCTATTGTTCTGAGATTATAGCAAAATTTTTGTGAAATAATTTTATACAACAATTTGTTTGTCTATCATACGAAAGCAGTTTAAAAGAAATAAATATAGAATTCATGTTTGCAACTTGGTTTTGTATATTTTTTTAACAGTGTAGTAGATTTTATCTAGTAACTGTAAAATTAAATGTTGTTGATTTGAACACGTACGAATTATTTTAATTATCGAGTAAAATAATTTATTTATATATAGTTGATGTCGAAGTAATATAAACAAATAAAAACTGAAATCAATAAAATAAGTTTAAAGGCATATGTTATACAAAGTGTTCATAAAATCAATCAAAACTTTTTATAAAATTGAAGAATATTCACCTAAAGGAACATTATAAACTTTCTGCCCCAAACGAGCTGATATTGTGTTCTAATATTTCTTGAAACTGTATTTAACTCGTAGCCAACTTATTTTGATATTAAGAATCTTATGTTCATATACGAGTATGCTACATTGGAACATAGTAACGACTAAAATTGATTTATCACATCACTAAATTTCAGTCATAAATGTCACCTAATTTACTATTATATTTTTGCTAAGAACATCAACTTTATTAATCAATCTTTGTCACTTTTAGCTTCAACATCAACTACATCGTCCACATCAGCGCCTATCACAACTACACCAGCAACACTTGCAGACACAACATTGCCGGTACTACATGAAAGTGATGCCACAAACGCAACATCAACAACCAAGACAATTGATACAACAGTCGTTGCATCATCACTGCCTATAACTACGATTGAACCCATAACGACCACAGAACCCACAACAACGCCTACAATTTTTGTCAGTAACAACGAAAAAGAAACGGAAAAGCAAACCCAAAAAATTGCAACCACAACAGAAAATGAAATAAAAGAGACAACAATAAAAGCATTACTTGATCATGCAACCCACACGCCTACAGAATCTGAGACAACTGAACACGCGCCACATCAAACTTCAGATGTGGAACATATACTCTATTTAGCCACGACTCATAAGCCAGCAGAAGAAGTCATAAAAGAAGAAAAATCTACAGAAAATATTATATCTACAACAGTGAATGATATATTCGCAGAAGATGAAAAGGAAAAATCCATTAAGCCGGTCTTCGTAGTAGGCGCAAACTCAGCACCCACAAAAGCAGAAAATGAAACTGAGACAATAGCAACGACAACTACAACCACAACAACTGAAAAAACGCATGAACATCATCCAACCGAAGTTTTACTTAATCATATATCTAGTAACACTGATGAAGATGACAAGGATTTGAACAATTTCAGGCACCCTGCAACTCTCATTACAGCTAGTAACAGTGATGAAATGTTAAAAGAAAATGAAAGTACCGATAATGAACAAGAAAAAATAAAAAGCTTTGAAGTTGATGGTTTCGTAAATGCAGAACATGAGGATCCTTATCATGCGCATATATTATCGGAAAATCATGATCGTTTAGCAGAGCATGCAGATTATCAAATGTTGTCTAGCACAGAAGATGCAATGGACACAACAATTTCTAGTACCACGACTACCACAACAGCTGCACCTACTAAGAGCACCGATAGCTCAGATAAAATTGTTATCAGTGAAGAAAATAAAGCAACCGCAGTGCCATTTGTGCCAATTCAAGAAAAAACTGAAGATACATCATCTACTTCAGGCGAAAATAATGAAACACGCGGGCGTTCTATGAACATACCAACTCATGAACAGAACGAAGAAAATGAAACCATTGTCACAACAACACCATCTAGTGGGCCAATCATAACAATAGTGGAAGGTCAGCATACAAATCAACAACATGAACATGATAATAATGTGGAAACAACTACAACAACTACTGAAAATCAAATGCATGCTTATATGCCGATATTTGCCGGTGAAGGACGTTCTGTTGGCGGTGGAATTTCTGCAGAAGATGAGGATGCACACTTAAATTATCAATTCAATTTTGTTACAACGCAACGTAATATGAATGAGGATGATAGCAATAAGGAGAAACAGGAAGTATTACAAAAAAGTGCTGCTATTAAGGATATAAGTGATGTAAGCATGGATGATGATGAACGCATGGGTATGGTACACGTACACCATCACGAAGAGGAGCCACAAGTAAAAATAACCGAAGTTACAGTTAATAGTGAAGGTGTTAGCCGCGAATGTATGTCTGATGGTAAAAGCTATAAGGTAAGTCCAAAGTTTAAGATATTAAGATATATGATTCTACATTATATTCTGATTAAAGAATATTATTATGTTGAAACTATTTAAACCAGTGCACTTGAGCACTTTTACTCTTTATTAACTTAAGGTATCTTCAAAACCCCACTTTACGCCTTGACTAGATTATTGTTTATCACTTCATCAGACTAAGCAACAATTGACCTCAGACTTGCATACCTCTCCGAGGAGCCTGTAATCATTTTGAGATTCGACAACGCGGTTTTGGTAAATCTGTAAGTTTTAGTAAATAATTTCAGGGCTCTATCCTTTATAAATTTTTTTATCGGATCAATCTTGAGGTCTCTGAGGATGTCATTTGTTCTAATATACCGTGGTACCTTGAAAAGTCTTCTCAGAGCCTGGCATTGTTTAATTTCTAGCTGGCGAATAGTAGTGTTTGAAGCTTTGCTAAATGCTACACATACATATAGAAGTGACGGACGAATTGTTTGGTTATATATCAGCTTCCTGTTCTTAGCATTGAGATTATCATTTCTGAATAGCGATTGGACGTGATGAAGAATTTTTGGCACAGCTAATTCTTTTCAGTTAAACATGTTTAAGCGATGTGAATCGTTTGTACAACATGTTGCTGAGATATTTAACGCTGTCCTCCCAGTTTATTACCATATCTCCCACTCTCACTCTCGACGGGTTCTGTCTCCACTTACGCGTAACAAACAGAGCCTTAGTTTTTTCATTATTGATTTTTTTTTTCATTTCTAGAAATACTCCAGGATGGGGTTTATATGCTCTTGAAATGTGTTGGTTATGTAGAAGTGTAACGTTTAGCAAAGCCTAAAACACTACTATTCGCCAGCTAGAAATTGCAGAAAGCCAGGCTCTGAGAAGACTTTTCACGGTACCATGGTACATTAGGACATGTCATTTGTCCTCAGGGACCTCAAGATTGAACCGATCAAAAAATAATAAAAATACGAAAAAAAAATTAAATTATTTATGAAAATTACAGACTTACCAATACGCCTTAATCCAGTCAAGGCGTATAGAGGGGTTTTGAAGAAACCTCGTAGTTAATAGAGAGTAAAAGTGCTCAAGTACACTGATTCAACTAGCTGTAACATAATAATAACTTTTAAAAATTATTTAAAAACTAAATGTAGAGTACTTGAATAATTGTATATATATGTATATAATGTATATAAAAACTATACATTGCCGATTAAGAACCTATAATCATTTAACGCCTTAAACTCTGTGTTAAACATTTTAAGTAATGTAAACACTTTTACAAATTCTATTTCTAAACACTGATAAGATGTTCCACTTTGTTAGCTTGAAATTATTACCTAATAACTATACAATAAATATTTTAATTAGTTTTTACACTTGCAGATACATGAATCTTATTCAAGTTTATATGTAGTAAAATCCGATTTATAAATAACTTACACACATACCTACATACCTGTACTTTAGTATAAACCCTTTTCTATTACGAAAAGAAAATTTACTATAATTATTTAATTGTTGTTTATTTATTTTTTAACATTGAAATATATGGATTCCTGTAGACTAGAAAAGATAGAATTGCTGTTTTAGACAAGAAGCTTTTTGTTAACATTAATTAATTTTTGAACAGATTTCCATAAATTATAATACTGCAACGGCTTTATTGTGATATCTATTAAAAACGTGATATAAAAAAAATTTTTTTTTTTACAATACATATGATATTTGGGCTTATACAGAGTACGTATTTGGTGTGATAATCATTGTAAAAATACAATGATTATTTAACAAAAACATTTGTTTTGAGAAACCTTACATATTTTTAAAAAAATATATTTTTTATGTGTCGATGTCTATAAAAACATCGAGAGTTCATTATATATAATATTTGAAATAATTTTAAACCCATTAAAGCAAAGGCTAAAGACCATCATAATAGAGTGACCTTTTGTCACGAAAAACTTACGAAAATAAAAAAGTTTTTAAAAAACAAAAATGTTGAAATATCAATGTCTGATTTAATAGATAATACGATCTCTCTTCGGAAATCATAAGTTGATATATAAAAAATAAATGATTATCTGTAAACAACTATAAAAAAAAACTTAAAAATTCACAACGGTTTATAATTTTGCAAAAAATTCTGCTACAGATCTGAACTCACTATTAATTATCTACTAAATAATACTGTTTTACTTATTTTCAAACTATGAAATCTATATTTAACTGTTTAGGGATATGCTCAGTATAAAGAAGTAGATGCGCATTAATATACCAAATATACGATAGCATATCAAAACAATACGATTGCCACCTGTGATTACTCCATTTTAAGCTCTGACCTTAGAAAGCAATATCGAAGACAACCATTTCTACTCGTTAGACTCGCTAGAAATCCTAGAAAAATCAAATATTTAGGTCATTGCTAGATGTTTTGGAATGGGAGTTGCTAAATATTATAAATATTTTCTAATGATACAGAGGACATCAAAATATCGTTAATTTTTCTAAGAATGCATTAGCGCACAGAGTGCAAATCAGTGAAGAGTTTAATTGATATAATATATATACGAGTAAGAACATTAACGAATCTTTGACTGGTGACAAAATAGGTCATAGTTTACTTTATTTATTCTCTTTTAGTTAGATTTAGATTTCATTGTATTCATTTTAGGAATAGTATTGCTTTTTTAGATTTATTTAGAATTAATGTATATGAAAGCTGTGAGCTTTAAATGAACTCTACAATAGACTATGAATAAGATTAATATTGTATTAAATTGTTGAAGAATGTTATATTTATATTGTTTAAGCACAAGAAACTGCAGCTCTTGTAAAAACAACTTACAAACTCTGATTCTATAGAGAAGCTAATCAAATTCCAATAACAAAAAATTGATAGAAAAAAATATTACTAGACTTTAAAAATATAAATTCAATTAATAATCTTCATTTATTAAGTCAAACTTTAAAAATTGTATAAATTATTTTTAACTCCAAAAAAAACTCATATTGTTTATACATTTACTATCATTGTATGTAAAAGCAATATATAATGTAAAGAACTTACATCTCAGGTTGTAATATATGCAAAAAAAATAATAACTTAAATAGATTGAAGTTATGTAAAACATAAATTTAGCTATAATATAGTATATAGTATAATGCTTAACTCCCTGCATATGAAACTAATTTCAACTAATTACAACTTTTTACACCTATGTAACCTTATATTCGTATAACCGAGCAGTCATAAAATTTTCATAATTATTGCTTTTTTCCCATATACCAGACAAACACGCTTCAATGAAAGACTATTATAGAAAATTTTTTGCAATTTTTGCGTAGGTAGCCTACAAATGCACAAAATAATATTTTAATTAATTTTTATTTTAAATATTTTTAAATTGCTTTATTGCTTTAGTCTTAGTACGCGCCAAACACTCAGCTTGAATTGGAGGTTCACTTAAACTAGCGAGTTTAAAACATTTTGGCTAATACCGGCAAGCCAATACTTAACAATATAATATAAAAAAATATATATTATTCATAAAAATTTATTACTTATTATTATTATTATTTATTATTACTATTATTTATTTATAAAAACATAAAAATAATGGAAGCTTAAAATATCTTTAACATCATACATATATCACACAGCATATAAATTACCCCACTAAATTGAATTCATATCAGTTACGAAGTCAACCCCTTCACTTCACTCACTTATAAATCTTATATATATAATTCTTCTGTACGTGTGTTGACAGTGAACTCCTCCTAAACGGCTTAACCGATTTTGATGAAATTTTTTGTGTGTGTTCAAGTGGATTCAAGGAAGGTTTAGATTCACAATTTGGCCAACTGGATAATGTCTTTTTAATTAATTTTTTATTTTTTTGGTATCCATATACTTTTATATTAGAAATTTAAAATTTATTCATGCTTACTTTGATTTGTTTAAAAAGTTTAAAATCTCTAAAATGAATCGTAAAACTGCCGTTGCATAGCTTAAGTGCATTTAAATTCCGCATTATAAATCGTTTGGCAACCGATCTATTAAACAATGATATGCAGCGCGAATTTCATTATAGCTCTGAAGATTTGGTTGAATTTGTTACAAGAAGCGAACAAATCTTAACGCACCAACAAAAGGTCATTTATGATCGGGTTTCGAACGCAATTGCGGCAAAAGAAGGCGGCTTTTTTTCTTGGATGCACCAGGTGGAACTGGAAAAACTTTCTTAATTTCAGTCATTCTTGCAAAGGTTAGAATGCAAGGAAATATCGCTTTAGCACTTGCATCATCTGGAATCGTTGCGACATTGTTAGATGGTAGTAGAACAGCCCATTCGGCACTAAAGTTGCCACTAAACATACATTCATGTGAAAATGGGGTATGCAATATTAAAAAACATTTAAATATGGCTCAAGTACTTCAAAAATGTCACATCATTGTTTGGGATGAATGCACAATGTCACATAAATATTCATTGGAAGCATTAAATGAACATTTAAAGATTTAAATGCCAACTATAGACTTTTTGGAGGCGCTTTAATTGAAAATCAATGCTTGCCTAAAATCATCCATTTTGTGGCGAAGTGTCCATATATTGCGACTTACCGAAAACATGCGTGTTGGACTACAGAGCGATTTAGCTGCAGACTTGTTTGCCAAACAATTGCTGGATATTGGTAACGGAAACGTAAGTCTTCATGAAAATACGCACTTTATTAAATTGCCAGAAAATGTTTATAAAATTGTTAATTCGGAAGAGGAGTTAATAGAAAACGTATTTCCTAACATATATCAAAATTATCAGAACCATCAATGGCTTCAAAGTAGAGCGATTCTGGCTGCCAAGAACTTAGATGTCGATGAAATCAATTTCAAAATTCAAGCTAAGCCTTCTGATCTATATATATACGTACAAAATGGCCTAACAAAAAATATTGTTCATGATTTAGCTTTAAGTTAACATTATAGCCCATAATGCATGTGGACTTTTTGTAGTTCAAAAGAAAAAATCAATTCAAAATAATTTTAGCATTAAAATGCTAAAGGTTAAGTTGAATAACAACAAATATTATAACTCAGCTGAGCCAGGAAAATTAATTGCAAGGGGACACAACGTTCGCCGGGTCAGCTAGTTGATTATAAAAAATTAGAAATAACATATATTTTTGAAGAGGTCGTACTTTATATGACAGTATACGAGTATTGTCATTGTACAGTACGATACGACAGTATCAAGTACTGTTTCTAAATAACAGTTGTATATGTAGCTATACTAGATATACATTTATAGGCATATAAAAAAATGAATAGTGTTGGCCTAAAGTCTTACTTCAAAAGAAAATAATCGTCTGACATACAACATTTTCCCTTCTGTACTAAAGGAGAATGAAACACTAAACCTTTCTCTATTAGGTATCTTAAAGTGAGAGCCAATTCGGAAGTACCCGAATTTTTCTCAGCTATTGGACGCAGCATTAAACCAAACTTCTTCCTTATTGAAGTGTTGAGCATAGTAAACCCGTTAAAATGTT